ATAGTGGTGATAATAATAATAATAAGAAGAATAATACTAATGATAATTATAATAAGAATATTAATACTAGTAATAAAATAATTATAATAAGAATATTAATACTAGTAATAAAAAGCTAATACTAAATATAATAAAAGTAATAATACGACGAATAATCATAATAATAATGAAATGGTACCCCATTCCATTGTTATTTGAGGGGGCAAATAATAATAATGAAATGGCGCGCCATTCCATTATTATTATTTATTTAGGGAGTAAATAATGCCGGGGCATCTCCATTATTTCTTCGCGTGCCCCCTGGAAATTCTCCTTGAACGTCTGTATATAAGTACGCCATATGCACCCAACCAACAACCTCGGAAACCAAAGAGGTCCCTATTCCCTTTTCAAGGTTTGACAATCACCGTCAGAAATCGCAATTTCATTATTATGGGAGGTGAAAGGACTTGGATTATAAATCATTGATACAGCTGGACATGCAAATATTGGTTATGTATATATTTGTGGTACCAAGTGATATGGTTGAAGTAGCATTGTTAATAAAGGTGTTCATATGCTTGCAAATTGTGCATGTCTTGCGTGGCAACTACTTTTCTTGCCCATGTGCCACCACTTCGGTGTGCAAGAGGGGTTCGGGCAAAAGGGGGAACTGCTTCGTGCCAGCTTCAAGAAGACTTTGGGCAAGAGGAGTAGCCAATTGGGAGCAGCTCCAACACTCGCGATACGAGTTTATTGAATCTCAGGATTGGGCCACTTGGGGGCTGATTGCAGGTGAATTGTGATTCAATGTGGGCTCGGAACTCAGCTTACGTGGTGCCAATGAGTCTACATACATGCTCGGCTCACATCGTGTTGATCTATGGCAGTCCTTTTTTGGCCGATAAAATACTCGAACAATTCATCGAAAGATAATGGCCGAAACATATGAATTTCGAGCGTTTTTGTGTGTTTTGTTCTGAAGTATCCTTACACTCCAGATTTGACAGCTTCCGTTCTTCCATGTCGTCCCCCTTTACACGTAGTCTTGCCCACAGGACAAACGGTTTTGATATGCTTTCAGGGTCCCGTTGCTAGCCTCCGCCGAGGCCAGACCCAGAAATTCTTGCTTCCACACATCTCCACACTGCCCCACAGTGGGGCCCACAATCTGGTCTAGCCGCTTCACGCTGTCGAGAGCTAGGCTTCAGCCGTGCGTCTTCCTGCATCCCAAGCGCTGTCTCGGCGCGCTTCACACCGCTTGCTTTTGCAATCGCTGATGGGCCACTCCGCTTGCTTGCCTCGGGTGGGCAAGACTGCCAAAAAAAGTGTATGTCTTTGCAGAACCAGCTCCTGTACCCTTCTAATCCTGTTCAAGGGGCCAAGGCTGCCAGCGCGGCAACGCCCTTTGACTGCACGCAGATAGTTTGATGCATGTCCATGAGGGATGTTGTTGCTGTGGCGATGCCCTGGGAAACCAAAACATCGGCCAAACCACTTTTTGGTTCAAGTAGCTGCAGCAGCAGTGTGAGCCACCCTATCGCCATGTCCTCCGCTTTGTCCATGACAGGTGCAGTGGCAAGGAGCTGGGCTGCGAGGAACTCTGGTGGAATGAGTTCGCCCCCCAATCTGACGAGCATATCTGCAAAATGAGGTGCTTGAATGCGCTGTGCTTGACGCAAGAGCTCTGGGGCAAGCCGAGGGGGGCCCACATCGGTTTTCTCAGCCTCGGCCACAAGAATCCGCGCCATGGCCTCCTGGCTCAGCTTTGCTTCCTCGGACTGCCCCTCCGAGGCTTTCAGGAGCGCTGCAAGCACGTCTGCACTCAGCGAGCGAACGGCATCTGCTGAGAAGCAGAGGTGACAAAGGCAGCGTGCCACTGCATTTTTCAGGGAGGCGTCAGAATGCAAATTGCTCAGGCGCAGCATTTGCATCATGCAGCCGCGGTGTTCTGCCTTACAGCATCTTACAGCATCTTGCAGCTCAGTGCCAGTGCCAGCTTGAAATGATCTGCTTAGGACCTGGCAACCTCTACAGGCTCGCTGTAGGCGAGCGAGGCCAAGGCGCGCAACGCCTTGGTGGCCTCATATGGGACCGCCTCGTAGTCCTGCAGGTGCTGTACCCTTAGTACAGAGCGAACGAAAGAATCAAGGCCCCAAGGCACTTCAATGCCGGCTCCTTGAGGCTCCGACACGCTGGACAATGCGCAGCGGTCGAACGTCGCGGCCGGACCCGGTGGGGCCGGCCTCAACGGCACGGCCTCGAGACAGAACGAGCCGCCAGCGTCAATACTCTCCTACTTCTTGCGTCATGGGAATCACCCTGATACAAGGAACTTATGCGATGGTGCAAGACCACACTAAAAGCAACGCTCAATGTGTGCCGCGCTCCCCAAGAACCTGCCTGTGCGCCTGTGAGCTCGAGGAGCAACTGCTCCTGGCCCAGCATCATAAGCTCGCGACAGGCTTTCGATTCCAACGTTTTTTGTTGCTGCTGATGCTCTCCTTCTCAGCTAGCCTCTCCGAATACTTTTGGAGATCGCCTAGTTTGTAGCACATCCAGGGCACTACAAAGGCGAACGCACATATGCTTGACGCCTAGGGGCAGCCAGAAATGCCGAGATAAGCCGCACCAGTTCTGCTAGCTGCAGACCTCAGACTCGCAATCTAGAGACGGCAGCTCGCAAACCTTCACTGGCACCCTAGATTTCGGATGAAATCATGCGGCGGTGAAGCTTTCTGGGTGAGGATGGCTTTGCAGCCCTACTCAATTGAACTTGGCGCACTTCCTAACTGCAAACCGACCAAGCCCAGAAACTTGGATGCCAAGCACCCCACGTAAACCTTTGCAAGCCTCTCCTTGAATGGTTGGAGCTACTCACTTCCGAATGGTAGCCTCTGTGGTGCCCAAATCGTCACATCCAAGAAGAAGTGTGCACCCCACTGTGGAGTTCCTTAAGCATTGGCAAAGGCAAGACTTTCTGAGGCGGGCACGCTTCAGCCAATTCAGCTTGGACAGCTGCCAGCCGGCTCACGAAGTCCATGGGGAGGCGCAATTAAACCGAGGTGTTGACATGGATGACGAATAGCTTGGGAGGTCTGAGCTTGTTTTGTTGATGAGCTGTTGCGCATGCTCAAGTTGAAGCCAGGACCCAGGACGCTTCAGTGCGGCATGCAAGGTTCAGTGAAGACGGCAGGACCTGGGAAGCTCAGGCGCAAAGGGACAGGCCACGGAACCGCAAATGAACTTCCCTTTTTCGGGATTCTCAATTGGCAAATGCAACAGGACGAGCTCCAGCAAGTGGTCCTGCTGGCGCTACAGGCACGCTGAGACCGCTGAGACCTGAGAGGTGCTGGAGGATTGCGGATCTGGAGAGCACGTTGATATACTGTTGCCTAAGCCTGGCCTTTCAGCTCTTTGGCTTTCTTCCTTGCCTACTCTGCCATCACGGCCTTACTCTGAGCTCGCCGGCGGTGGATGCTTGTCCTTCTCATGGTTTCGATCACAAGTCAACAGAAGTTTCAAGTCGTTCCACTTCTCAGCAATTCTGGGGAAATCAGCTGCCTGCCCAGGTTGTAGATAGACCGTGCGGCTTTTCTCCTCAGCTTAGCTGGCACAAGAGTCTTCCAGTCACATAAATTTGGGGCCTAGGCCTGTACGTTGGCTGCACTCTGAAAGAATCACTTGCAAATGTAGCCCGAACTGACTTACCGACCGACACAAGGCTCTCCATGTCCTGAAGTACGTAATGCTGAAGCCTTCAGAATCCTGGCTAAGTCTGATTGAAAAAGCAAAGTGGCAGTCAAGAAGCCAGCGTGTGCTGGACCATTGAAGCAGCATTCAACTGTCAAACTCGGGGACTTCAGCCGCATAAAGCAAAAAATAAGTCTCCGACCCCTTCTGCTGGCGCAGCTTTGCGATTCTGAGCAGCGTGTGTTCAAGCGTGTGTGTTCTTCTCCTAGCTTCTGGACTTGTTGGAAGCGAATGAGGATCAAACACTCTTTGCGTTGCAGGAGCGAACTCACAGTCCTTCTAACTTGTACGACCCACGTTGGGATGAGAGCTTACATGTCAGGATCAGAAGTATACTATTGCAAACAAAATTCCCGTAGTGCCGTGCCAGGGTGTAGTACATCACTAAGATCGGGGGGCTGGCAAGGTGGGATGAAGGTAGTGTGATTCAACAAATCCCTCTTGTAGACTTAATGCTGTTGGGTCTCATTTCCTATACCCACCTTCCTATACCTCACCCTTTCAAGCCTCGAGGATTTTTTTTCCATCTGCAAGACTTGCAGGGTAGCCCAGAAGTCAGCATCAGGAAATGTCATGGTTTCCCAAAATTAGCCGTTTTGGAGGTCCCCACACTGAGAAACAGGAATTTTGGGGTCCCCTTTGTCAAGGGAGACAAAGGAAGCCTTATAGCAAGTCTGAATGCACATGAACATGCCAAAGTCCCTCAAGAAATTCACAACGGATTCTGCCACAACCGAAGACTGATAGTCTCACCAGTTGATCAAGGCGCCCCAAACCCCTTGGCGTGATCTTAGCTGCTTTTGTTGATGCTGGCACCGGAGCTGTGCCCTCCTTCTGCAATTGGATGGTCACCTTGCTTGGCCTTGCTGAATTGGACCGGGGGCTTCAGAATTTCAGCAGCCTAGCCATGCTGGTGTGTACATAGGATGTTAGCATAGTAGCATTTCTCCAGGATTTGAAGGCCCAATCCTATTCCGCAATGAACGGGTCCAATCGAAAGCATTGCACAACCTTGGCTGGGTGTGGAGAGTGCCCGACGCAATGTGCATTGACAATTTTCGATCATGGGCGGCGATCTGAATGCAGGTAGCAAGCAAAATAACAAGAACCCGGCTTACATACCGTAACCCTGACTGTTGACTGGGGCACCGATTTCAGCGTTGTTGTCCTGATGAGGTGCAGTTTCTCTCATCCCAAAAGATACTACGCTTCGAAAGCCAGTGAGAGCCTGGCCATGCGATCTTGCGCTGCAATATCTCAGCAACAATGCAAGGACGACGTGCAAGGCCAACGTTCGTGTTCGAATGGCCAAGATTCAAGCGCAAGACCTGGTCAGCATCATTGCCTGGCGCGGAGCTTGCCGATGATCGTCAAGCGCGCTATCCACTGTTGGGTGGCGCGTGGCCGGCATGATGCTCGAGCGGCATTGATAGCACCAACTTTTTGGGCCAAGCAGTTTGTACACAGGCAGCTCCATCCATTTGCCAGGAAAGGCCGGAAGTGCTTGAAGCGGTCGCAGACAGCATTTACAGTCTCTGAAAACACATGTTCAGGGGAATAGCTTTGGAAGATGATGAATGCACTGTGGCACCTACGGGCGACTGGCTTCAATCTGCTGTCGGACATCGACAGCTGTGGGACGCTGGCCCGGGGAGCTCAAGCAAGCCAAAGCCCACATTGGAAGCTCTGGCTGCCCGTAGAGCTCCTTCGCCATGCATCCCAATGAAAACAGGTCCATGCATGCCGTGATACCGGCATGCTGGCCTTGACGGATAGCACTCAGCAGCTCAGGCGCTGTATAGCCCCGAGTGCATCCCTTAGCAGCGGCGATTGCCCACGGGTCATCTCCAGCAGGCAAGCAGTAAGGTAACAGTTTTCCATGTGCGGCCCATTTCGAGTTTGAGGCGAGTTGCCAGGGCTGTTCTTGCAGCTTGCTCAAAACAACTAAGACCGACGGTCGTTGCTGCAGTCATCAAGCCCCGAACCTCTCCCCGAAAGTTGAGCTTAAGATGCTGTACGCTTTGTTCACGTGCCATGTTCTTTAAGGCTGTTGCTCGCTAAGCCTAAGAACCCAAAGAGCTGGATTGCCACCCTCTTCCGAAGTTGAGGGCAGCATGTTCAGCTGTTTTTCTTGCTGTCTGTCGGCCAAACGAAACTATCAAGGCGATGTTCGGCTGCATCTAGCTTCAATCCCTCCGCATAATCTAGTACAAATTGCAGCCTGCCATGCTGCTCTTCTTTTTCTACATGCTGTTTGCTAAACATGTGTGCGATGTTCAGAAGCCAACAGCTGGATCTAGTTGCCATCCGCTTCCGAAGTTGAGGGCAGCATGTTCACTTGTTTTTCTTGCTGTCTGTCGGCCA